TGATATTGTGTGTGGGTGTAGATACAGGAGAGGGTCTAAATATGATCAAAATATATTGTATGAAATTCACAAAACTTCAATAATAAAACCTAAACCTAAAGAAATCTAACTCAGCATGAATTCGTTGAAAAACACTTGCCTAGAGGCACATAACGCCTTAATATCTTATATTTTAACTACTAGAAAAATCACTCCAGGTAAATCTCACAGCACATAAATTAATTACCTCAAGAGGATCTGCTAAAATTGAATTTATATATAAGTATACGCTTCCCCAAAATCTGAAAGATTCACCAAATAGAGAAAAGTTGAGTAAATTAAGCTAAACAATAAATTTTCATCAATTATGGAGTGCTCACATTCATAGGAATGTCATATCAAGTAGAAACAGTACAGAACTACTATTGTACTGATGTAAAATCCACAAGACCAAACATTTACATCAAATTTTATAAACAAAATGTGATCCATCAATCTGGCATGTCATGGTGGTGTCACCACAAGTTTTGTTTTATTCACACCTAGAAGGAAATATACTTACTTGTCTTACAGAACCAGAAGGAATCATGGGAAGCTTCAATTGTGACAGGGATCGGCCCTATAGTTGCTACTGCAATCGTGAGGACATCCTCACCCTCTGGGAGGATCATAAAGTCTGTGACATTAGCAGTAGCATTCTCAGGACTGTATCTGCAGGGTCCTACCTTTAAAAATGAAAGGCAGAAGAGATTTGGATATTTCCGTCCATCTCTTGGGTAACAGCAATTGGAACCACCACATGTAGCACTTGGCATAAAAGCATTTCCATGTCTGAGCTATTGTAATTCATCGCAGGAAGTGAAATGCTGCTAGTAGATTTGAAACTGGAAACTAGCTCACAGGTCGTCAATGGCACCTCATAAATCTTCCTGTCATCATACAGTTTCACAGTGGAGGAATCTGCATCATGCATGGAATGGTTTGCATATCCTCCATGTTCCTAAGAAGCAGGAACAACCACATGGAAACCATCACCTAGGACAACTGTGCAAAAACTAATCCTGTCATGGCATCAGTGATGGCTTATAGAGAGAGTCTACCAACTAAAGGCGAGGTCTGAAAGCAGTGGATTATCTCTGCAATTATTTTACTTTCTAAAATCTGAGCTGAAATGCCAAACACACAGGAGTTCCATTTACCTTTTGTTCATACGGATAGGTTTCTCCAGACTCCAGACCTCCGTTATCCTTCACACACTGGAAGGTACCGACTACAGTGCCTCCATGGCAGCCCACATTGCCTTGAGGTTGAGAGCAGTCCACTAGGTTCTGTACACTTAGCTGGACCAGTTTGCCTGTTCTGTTGAACATCTGTCCTTCTATGGCACCAACCGCCCTAAAAGGCCAACAAGGACTACATCTGCTCTGAACAGGGAAGAAAAGATTGTCATCTCCAAACAAATAGCAACTCCAACAACAACATGGACCCTTACATACTTTATCAAAAAATGAGCTATTGGCAGTTGATGCTGCCTTAGGAGGTCACTCTACTCGGCTGCTGGAAGTTGCTCATGCCCCAGTGGATGGTAACACAGACAAGCACATATGGATAGTACCTACCGATCTCTGGAGGTTATTAATGACCAAGAAAGAAGGTGAATTGGGAGGGGGTTCAGATGAGGTGGGGTCTCTGAGGGGAGTAGAAAGGAGAGAGTGGTGGATAGATAGGATCCATACACATTATACAAATCTATGAAACGTTCAAAGAATAAAGAATGTTTAAGAAATGGACTGCATGGTGGTCCACAGTCAACCAAAACAGGATGTCAATGCCTTGTCTCCCCAGGGGCTGAGGAAGAGAGGAGTGTGACGACGTCATACCTGATACCACACAGGATTCACATAGTCTTTCTTTCTCCAATCCACAGATTTGGGGAAATCATCAAGAACCAGACGTTTCTGGATTCTTTTGCCTTTCCTGAGATTTGAGACTGGATGATTAATCATTGTTTCCTTAAATTCCTCACTGGTCTTCAAGGAAAAGTAAATAAAACAGTGAAAACCAAAAGGTAGAGGACTAAAGAGAAGAAACAGTGTTAAGCCATCCCCACACACACCATGTCACCGAAGGCGTTCATTTCCATGGTAAAGCCGTGCTCCCCCTGGTCGTGTTCCTCACTGTGCTGTTTGATCAATCTTATGTTTTCTTCCCAAACTGCTCTTTTCTGTACTTCTTCATCCTAGAAATACACATAATGGCTATTTCTTTGTAAGTAAACTCTCCCACAGGCTGACCAAGGGCATTTCCTGCCACAGGTAAGGAGGAGCCATGGAGAGAAATCTCAGAACCCTTCAGAAAGTCATTCTCCACACCCTGATTAACAGGGATCTTGGTGACCCTGTGCTCACATTGCACATGGTTAGGCAACCCCTTAGTGAGGGGTGGCCTCTGTGGCCCCTTTTGTGCCCATAAACTCCCAATAGCAAGCGCTAGTCCCTCTGAGGAGTTTCCATGTTGCCAACCGGGCTGTATGTTTTCTCATAATTTGTCTTCCACTCCTCCCATTCAGCATCCAAACTGGGATCAAGTGAGCGAGCAGCTGAGACCACTCCCAAGCAAAGGATGGTCAGGAAGGCAACAGGAGTCATGTCTCAGAAACCTACAGAGGGAAGAGAAATAAAGACATCACTATAACAACTCTTCTAAAAATGCCTTCTTGGGGGGGTGAAGAGATGGCTCCGAGGTTAAAAGCATTGGCTATTCTTGCACAAGGCCCAGATTTGGTCCCCAGAACCCACTTAGCAGCTGACAACTTTCCATAACTGCAGTTCCAAGGGATCTGTCTCCTTCTGCTGGCCTTGGTGGGCACTGCACAATACATATGGATGTAAGTGCACACAGGCAAAACATAAAATATTTTTTTAAAAAACAATGACATTTTCTCCTTCCTGAGAAATTAATCCATCCATGGTAGAATAAAATTATCTGAGTTATGCTTCCAAATATTTATCCAAAGATTTGGGGAAAGGCTAAAGCTGTGGTTGTACTAAAACCACCACTTACGTTATACAGTTTGTCTATTAAAATGAAGAGCAGATGCCCAGAGATCTGGGAATGAAAACTGTCCACGCACTGCAACTTGTGTTAGAAAGATGTCCAAGAACATTGAGGTTCAAAACAACTGGGCACTTAAGATATTGGTGACCTAGGATCTGTGCCAAGCAAAACTTCTTTAATGCACCATCTGATCCTAAGTACAAGGTGAGCTCAAGAATTGAGGCCACATGGCATCATATTACTGCCTAAGACAGAGGAAATGGGCATTTCTCGAAAACTGCCACCAAAATGAAGACTTTCTCACATGTCCTTACAGAGTATCAGAAGGATGACTACTAACAGTCCTTCTGTCCCACGCTTGGGCCCATGCCACTAAAACTCCCATTCATGACCTCAGTGAGGAAGGGGTTACATGCAAAAGCCACTGGGAGTCAGAGCCACCACTGTAGGTGTTTCAAGAGCAGGCCTCTCCTAAGATTTCAGCTTCAGGACTTTCTGGGTCTTCTAAGCAACACTCCGTGCAGGATGTGGCTAGGGACATGCCATGTTTTACTCCTTCTGCATGTACAAACCCCAAACAGAAGCCTATACCCAAGGATGATGTACTGGAGGATGATCCCCATTAGCACAAGAAGAGATGGACGTGGTAGCTGGTGTGCAAGGTATCAGCTGACACTCTATGTGGCCATACCTAGGCTAGAATGTAATGAGAACCTATTCAAAGTTGAGACCCTCAGGAGCCCAGGTACCCCTTTGGAATCTATACCCTCCTCCTCTTCCCCACATTAAGGTTACTGAGGCTGAGGAGAGATTCTCTCCCAGACGGGATCTGCCTGATACTCCAAGGAATCCCTCAAAGCACTCCCCGCCAGTGTCAATTCCTATTCTGCAGCGGCAGAGTCAGGGCCTCACCAGGGTTGACCGCTGCTGCCTTGGTGCACTCCACAGACTCCGCTCTTCTGAGATCCCAGGATCTGGCCCAGCCACACTTCACTCAGGCTTTAAATCCCAATTTTCTGGTCCCACCCCTCAACCTTACCATTCTTTTGATTGGCTATGTTGGTGACTGGACTGGGTCTCCATGCTCTGTGACTCCAGGCATATACAGATCTGTTTCCAACCTACACTGGAGGAGTGGGTGTAGGCTACCTACGTTTCTGTGGGGAGGTGAGCCTATGGATCTTGACAGTAGAAGGTATGGGACTAAACTTTAGGGCTGAGATCACGTAGCATCCTGACATTTTCTCTGATGAGTGGTTCTAGAAAAAGGGTTTCTTCATACAACTGTGTGAAAATCAGACTAATGCTTATTTTACTTTGGAATAAGACTTTTTGAAAAAAATCTTCTGGAGCAGTCTCAGTCAGCGTATTCTAGTCTGGAATTTCGTGTTTGATCCACCACTAAGGTGGCGTTCTAGGAGAATACAGACCCTGGGATGCTTTGTTTCCTAGCATAGGGTTTCAAAACAGCTGGCTCTCCAAAGAATCTTTAGGGGAAGGTGATCCCCAAACAGTAGAGTGATGTTCAAGACCAAAACCTAAGAGGGAAAACGAAGGGGTTGGACAGTTGGACAGAGATGTTCTCCTGAACTGCTTCACTTTTTTTTTTAAAAATCTTTCCTTAAATTGAGCACCCATCTGGAAGCACAATCTGACATGTTACTCTTTACACTAGGGTAACAATCCATAACATGAAAATTCCCATTTTAACCATTTTAGGCACACATTTCAATGGCTTTAAAAGGGACATCCACATTGTTGTGCACCTTATGCCAAGTAGATATCTAAATCATTTTTCTCTTCTTCAAAGAGACTCTACATTCATTAAATAATAGTCCACTGCCTCTTCCCCAACACCAGGAGCCTCCATTTTGTTTGCTCTGTAGAGGAATTTGGCTACTGCTACGGATTAAGTGGTGATTGTAACAGTATTAAAAAGTGGGACCATTAAGAGGTAAATTAGTAGGACTGGAGAGAAGAGCCATCAGTTAAGAGCACTGGCTGCTCTTGCAGAGGACCCAGGTTTGATTCCCAACACCCATATGGAGGCTAACAACTGTTCTTAACTCCAGTTCCAGGAGATCCAACACCTTCTTCTGACCTCCATGGGTATTGCACAATACAGGTGCACTTACACACAGGCAGGCAATGCACTCATACACATAAAATAAACATAAGAAATACTTTTAGAAAGAGGTAAATTAGCCCCCAGTCACCAGTGTCAAATTACCTTTATTATCTCAGGTTATAGTCTGTTACAGGGAGACACCATATTTTGTTTGTCTATTGCATTTGGTTGCTTCTTTAGATTGGGAAAAAAAGATAGAATTCCCTACAGCCTACCCAATGTACACAACATCTAAATTTCTAAATATAGGAGAAATAAAGATACTTAAGTCACAGAGAGTAAGACAATATTAATATTGTGAATTATTAAAATAACTATTTTTTTTCAAATCTGCTAAATGATACCTGGTCCTACACAATTCAGACCCATCTTCTGCTAACATTGTCTGTCCCCTTCCTCGTAGCATCCCATTGTAGACAAGAATCCTAATAAGCCAGACTAACACAAATCATTGTTATTGCTTTCTGATCACCCTCTAGGTCTGATCAGGGTGCTTTCCTCCACCTGCCCCAGGTGAAGTCTGCTTAACTTGGCCTGTCTGTAGCAAGAATCCTGAATCTGAATCTTCTGAGTTAGAATCCACTTAACCACTGATGTTTCTGTTTGTCTGTAATATTTTTGCATCTATGGAGCCCCACTCTACTCCTTGGCTATAAAATACCCTTACATATCTTTATGTGGGGCTGAGCCTCTCTCCATAAATACAGAAACCCAACATGTCATCTCTATATGTATCTCTATAGTTTTTAATAGTCTCTCTAGATATAATTTAGTGAGTGTCACAGAACAATTTTCTGTTGTAAAGCATTTAATTTAGAATTTATTTTTCCATTGTTATTACAGGTGAGTAGCCACCTTCATCAAATGTAAACAATGTTCTTACAGAGACTTGAAGTCCCATCTTAGATGGCCTCAAGATTCACAGTCCACTTCTCTTGGGACCATTGTCCTCCCGTAGTTGAGTTTGCCAAGCAAATAATGGGAAATGAGTGGAAGAATGAGGCTGAGGGATCTAGAGCTCAGCAGCCATTTCTAAGGCCTGGTCATAGACAGCTCATCATCTACAAAGGATCTTGTTAAGAAAGAGAGTTCTGAGATCTGCCTCAGACCATCAGAGCTGCAGGGAATGGTGTCCAGCCATCTGAACTGTTATTAAGCCCTGAGGATGATTCTGATCTCTACTGAACTTTGGGAACCAAGGACACAGGGTTGTTGTAAAAATGACAAAGGAACATGTGAAAACTGCTCAGAATAGTGCCTGGAACCTCAGTGTTACTTACCTATAGTCCCATCTGAAAACTCAGCACAGCAGCAGGAATCTTGTCGATGATGCTTTGCCACCATGTCCTCACATATGGGGGTCTTTCCCCCTGGAGTACACTCATAACTGGAGTTGTGTTGGTGAATACGAACCTGTTCTCTCAGTTCAAAGATCTTCACTGTCTTTTTTACTGACCACAGTCAGACACCAGGCTTGATTTTTCTCATCATAATTTTTTTTTTTTTTTTTTTTGTCTTTTGGAGACATGGTCTCCCTGTAGCCCCAGCTGTCCTGGAACTCACCATGTAGACCAGGCTTGCCTTGAACTCAAAGAGATCCACCTGCCTCTTGCCTCTCAAGTGCTGGGATTAAAGGCGTGTCCTACCACGCCTGGCTCATTATAATATTTTTACCTAGATATACAAAAGATAATATTTTCATCTCCAAATGAATATTTCACTGTTTCTAGGGCATTTCCTTCACTTTGAAATAAACTCCATTATTATTCACAATTCTTCTTTATCCATTTTCATAATCTACTTTCTGTCTTATGGATTGGTCTATTCTTGAAATATCATGAACAAAATTTAAAGTGCTTAATTTTATGTCTGACTTGTTCATTTTCCATAATGTTCTTAAGAATAATGCTGTAGCATTTATCAAGATTTCATTTTTAAATTTTTTATTTATATATTTTTTGGTCTTTTTGAGACAGGTCTCCCTGTAGCCCCAGCTGTCCTGGAACTCACTATGTAGACCAGGTTGGCCTAAAGACATGGGCCACCATTCCTGGCTTGTTTATATATTCTTAATTGATGGATACTTGCTACAAATTTTGGCCACTAAGAGCAATGGTACAAGAAAATGTGTGCCCTTGAATTCGCATTAACATAGATCTTCATTTGTCCTGGATGTAGACATAGCAGAGTAGGTGGTACAAACGGGTCTTTGAAGAGCAACCAGACTGATTTCCACCATTGCTATTTTAGTCTACATTCTCACAGAAGCAGCAAAAATTCAGGACAGGTCTGAATCGCTCTGTCTCTCTGTCTCTGTCTCTCTCCTCATCTTTCCCTTCTTTCTTTTTCTTTTTCTTCATTCCATTCTTCCTTTCCTTTCCTCTTTTTTTCTTATCTCAATAACATTTTGAAGAATGTTTAATTGTGAAAGAATCCCATCCATGGTGCTGATTGTGCAATCTAAGGAGCACACAGATGTGACACACCAAGATCCCTCCTCTTCAAACTTGAGTTTTCATTCCTATTTGATGTTCTTAGAATTCCTGTGATAGACAGAAGTGGAAATATTCTGTCAATTCTCTTCTTCCTTATAGTTATTGTTAGGGTTCCAAACAGCAGCAGCTTCCCCCCTCCCCAACAGGGACCTACAGACTTTGGAGCCCGAAAAAGGGAACTTAGCTGATAAGCACCTTGACCTTTGAAGTCAAGGGAAACAAACTCTGCTGAGAAGCAGCCTGCCTTTCCTCTGACCTCCAAAGATAGGATAAAGAGATTTTAGAAGTTGTTTATCACAACAGCTTTTCTCTTATCTTAAGAGGGAAAAAGTAAACACTTCCAGACCCTAATCCTACCTGCTTTTCCTACTTCCCCCTCCCTGATTTCTCCCCCAAACATTCTTCCCTTCTACACCCTAAAGCCCCCATATATAAAGTCCCAGCTCACAGCCCGTGGGCTGACATCCTCCCCTTCCCTTCCCTTCCCTGACATCTTTCCCTTCCCCGAGGGAAAGGTGCCCTGTGTGAAATAAAGCTGTGTCCCGCTGAGAAATCCACCTGTGCCTCGGTGCCTCATCCATCCACTCCTGCTCTCCACTGCACGCATGCTTTCTCCAACATTTTTACCTATCAGTTATCCTACCAAGCATCACAAAAGTAAGGCAAACTGTCTCCCCTCTCCTAGCATCTATCAATTGCCAACAGATCCTCAGCTAGAAAGAGGCTTTCTGCCAATTTCCCCCATCCATGCTGAGCCCCTGCCTGGCTTGGGTTTGCACAGGTCTTATATGTGCCATTATAAGTGCTGTGGGTTCATATGTGATGTGGAACCCTGTGGTGTCCAGACAACAGTTTCCTTGTATTCATCTACTGCCTCTGATTCTTGTAATCTTTCTACCCTCTCTTCCAAAATGATTCCTGAGCTCTAAGGAGCAGTTATGTTATAGGTGTCCCAGTTAGGGCTGAGCACTTGTTTTCTTATGCTCTGCATGTCTCATTAATTGGGCTCTGTGTTAGTTGCCACCAACTGCAAGAAAAACCTACTCTGGTGAGGGTTGAGAGGCACTAGTCTGTGGGTATAATAATTAGTCATTATGAGTCAGTATTATATTATGTCTATTTAGGAAAATAATAGTGGTAGGCCCTCCCCTATTGTCTATGACCTATTTAGCCACAGGTCCTTGGCCCTGATATCAGTGCCAGGTATGGACTCCATCTTGTGAAGCAGGCCTTGAATCCAATCAGAAGGTGGTTGTTTACTTTCATAACATTCATGTCACTTCTCTATCAGTGGGCATATTTTGCCAAGCCAGATATTATTGTTGCTCATAGGGGTTACAG